GCCAGGAGGTCCTCCGCCGTCCTCGTACGACGGCTCATAGAGCACAAGCCTGCCACGGGCCTTTGGCCTCGGGCGTGGCTTTGGCCTCCTCCGAGGCTCCTCGAGTTGCCGCCGGCCGCAGCCGCCGGAGAGCCCTCAGGAAGCGACGTGCTGTCGCGTCCGCTGCAGCCTGGCCGGGTTTCTCATCACGTCGCGCTTATTGCGATTTTCCTTTGGGCCGCCATCGCCTCCTCCACGCGGCTGGCCGTGAGGAGGTCGCTGCAGCCGTCCGGCCTTCGGACCCGTCGCGTTATTTCGGGTGGCTTGTTTTGTCAACAGTTTGTTTCAACAACGCAATGAGCTCACGAGCGTTTTCTTTGTCAGGCCTTGGCCTTGCGACGCACTGGCGCGACCTCCCTCCTTTGCTCTCGTGCCAACACCTGCATCCACAGGCGGCCTGGAATTTTGATTGAATTTGTTCACACAATGTGCCTCCGGGGCGTTTGGGGCGGGGAGCGCACGCCCCCCTTTCCACTCTCGCAGCGCTCACCTGGCGTGCGTTATCAGCAGAGATTAATGGCAAATGTCGGTGATTATCAGGCCTTGGCCGCTCGCTCCTTGGCCCGCGGCCTCGCCTCGGGCGGTGCGGCCCTCAGCTTGGCCCGCGAGCAACAGCAGAACAATAGAAAACTACATCAACAAACAAACCTTACTTAGAACATTGAAAAGGCTTTCTGCTATTCCGACACCGACACACCTATGCAAAAAACTATTCAGGGCGTGGCGTGGACAATTCTTTTTGAAAGCCATGGATACCCGTAGTCATTTTCACATATTTCCACCCACTTCACTATATCAGATTGAACATTACACTTCTAAAATCTAACAAGTTACAAAAACGGGTTCCATGTTAGTCCCTTGGCTGAATGTGCTTGTGGAAGCTTGGCAAGGTCTAAGTTAGCAACGATTCACCCTACTTCCAGCCCTGTTTGTTACGTCCTTTTCTTAACGTGGAAGTGCATCGGGCATGAAATATAGCCAGTTTGGCTCACAAGGAGGTTCTAGGTTAGCTGTGCTTCAGTGATGGGTTCGCTGGACATGGCTAAGCAGATCCTCAAAGAGGTCAAAGGCTCTGTGGCAGAGCATACGTTTGACGCGGAGGAGCATGGGTAGGAAAAGGATGTTTGGTATAACACAAACTGTATATACACTGCGCCGTTCCCATGTATCCCCAAACGAATAAAACGTTCAATCGGAAACATGGACGCAACAAAACCACAAACCATATCTTGATATTTGCGGCGTCCTGAACTTCCATGTTAAGCCTTCCTGCCATCCTGGGTCCAGTCCTGTGGCAGAAATCCACTAGAGTTCTATGTTAGTGTCCTTTCTACAATAGCGGCCTATTCCAACTTCCCCAGGGTACCCGGAACGACGCAGGAGGTTAGCTTTCTGTCGTTTGGGCATTAGGTTCTGCGTTAGATTTCACCCGAGTAATATTCGTTGACCATCATCTGAATAAACAATACCATGAATTCACGGTTTATCATCAAATGTGCCTGAAGCTTTTTCATGTCTGTCCAGGTGCAATGTGAAGAGCATCTCATTAACGTTAGATCTTCACATCTTCACGAATGAAAGCAATTGTATTTTAGCTTGTTCACTTTGGTCCATGTGAAAACCATATGTAATATGTAAACAAATACTCAACGAACCACACAACAAATGTACACAATGAAGACACTCAGGGTTTCCAAACATGCGCGAAAAGTGGCTGTACATTAGCTTCCCCCCCCGCTCTGGCCCCTTCGCCAACGAGGAAGGGATCCTTGTGGACTGCCTGCGTCCGCTCGGCCTCCGCTCAGTTGCCGTCCTCCAGTGTGCTGTGCTGCCGCCGCAACTTCACGGCACTCTGCACCGGGCTGGACACCACGCCCTGACGGCGATCACCACGGGCGAATCGCCACAGGGAAACAGGGATGATTGACGCGTGTCCAGCACCAATGGCGAAATGTCTAAGTTGTGGACATGTAGATTCTGGATATATGATTTCTACAATTCGCAAACAGGAATTCATGACCTGACCTGGATTTTGTTGGCGCTTCCTGATGTTTCTCAGGGACATGATGTGGCCTTCGTCGGGCTACATGTTTCTTTGAAAAATCCACAAAAGAAGTGAAGGCTTCTAAGGCAGCTGGCAGCAACTGCTTCAAACGTCGGTCCATCAGTCAGTGTCTTCCAGAAGGTGCATTTTCTGATCCTATATTCATGATTCTTCATGACACGTGCATGTATGTTCCTCGTTGTTCTAGAAGATTCTAACCCCAACCAGTTCTTTTTGCTTCACATCTACTTCCCCTGGAAACGCCCACCTCCTCCATTCTCCCCCTTCGCGACGGCCTCGAGCTGGGACAAGGTCCGCAGCTCTCCCGGCTTTGGAGGGGCTGAGGCGACTTTGGCCACCACGTCTTGGTGCGCCTCCTGGGCGGAACCACGGAACCACACCGGGTCGGCCACATCAGGCGGTCAAATGCGACCATCTGATGCGATCCAATACAGAATATATCACCAGCATCAGAACTATCATCCTATCATATAGTATTCTGAACATTTTTTAGAGCCGACCCTTTCATGACAGTTTGAGATGAAAAGTCTTTTCTGCCCTGAGCTTCCAGGCCGTGATATCCAAACGTATTAAGATACTGTCATCCTCCACGCACGTCTCAAACCTGGGCGGCCACGACCACGAACGACGGCCACGCCGATGTCAGGGGATCGGTCAGGGCCGATGAGTTCAACGACAAGCTCAGCAGAACTGACTCTGTGAAACCAGAACCACGGGGTGTCTGTTGCAACACTTCTGCAACACATGACATGGAAAAGCACGTCTGCAAGTCTTCCTAGTACGTGTTTTCGAGCGGACTTGCTTTCCTCACATTAAACTAAACCTTGGGTTAGTTAAGAAAGTTCAGATGCTTGATCACTTCCTGGTCTCACATTCTTGTTGCAGGTACCCTACAGTAACCCATTCTAATGGACTTTTATGGACTTTTGATGACTTTTGTAGATGCAGCTGGGCTGGGAACACATCTCAAGAAAAAGAGAAGTACGTCCGAGAACGACTTCTTTGTGGCTCCGCATCCGCCACCCCCTTGGCTCGTCCTTGCCCACCCCTTCCGCGTCGGGCTCCCTGACTGGCAGAAGTTGGTCCGCCCGAAGGCTCCAGGTCGCTCGAAGGTGTGATCTGGCCGTCGACCGTGGAGGCTGTGAGAAGGTCCGAGTTCCCGTGTCATTTCTTCCGAGTTCCCGGGGGGGCAAGGAATATGCAAAGCATTGAAAAGCAATAAGAGTTTGACCGAGAAGGAGCAGGTTACAGCAGGTTAGCTTGTGGCTCACTTCTTCCAACATATCTAACAAATGCATACATGGCATTCGATGCCACAATGTTTGCTGCGGTGTATAATATAACAGGCCAGGCAATCTAGCATCCCTTCGCTCTTTTCCAGCATAGAGCCTCGTCAATGGCAAGATGGCAAGGGTATCATTTGCGACACCAAATCTGACTGACTCATTGGCGACACAACATGGGTTTAGGGTGTTGAAGTCATTGCTGCAGCTACTGCACTCTATGGGAACGTCGTGATGGAGAGATACAACCGTTACAACCGAGCAAACCGTGTCCTAATCCGAGAACAAGCGGGAAAAGCGTTTTAACATCTGAGTCCGATTTCCGCGTCACAACCGAGACGCTTTCCCTCATCACTTACAAGCCGGCACATGGGTGGTGCCCAAGCAAATGAATCTCTGTTGCTCCCCGCATGTTGTGGCCAGCTGTACTCTACTCAACTGCTTATGCTCTGGCAAGGGCTAAATTGCAAACGCATCTCTCCCTCCATGTCGACTCCTATCAACGTTTCTCAAGTAAGTCAAGGTCTAGCAACATCCAAGAGGGGGAACTGCTCCAGGGCACCCGTGCACACATTTCATCATGGCCCCGGCAGGAGCAGAAACGAAGAGCGAGCAATAGCCTCAAGCGCGCATACGTGCGGGTCCTCTAAATCAGCAAGCGTTCAGACCATTTAAGACATAAACACTTTTGAGCTGGAGTTTTCAGAAGTCACGTGGTCAGGTGGTCATAGGTGGTCAGGTGAAAAACAACTTCCGTGTTTGTTGTCTGCAGCTTCGACTGTTGCTAATATGGCTTGCCTTGTTGGCATTTGTTGGCCGTGCCAAGCTGCCAAGCTGCCAGTGCCCCAATCTCCCGGTCGCCAGGTAACACGTGAACGCTCCATCGCTCGGTGTCCGGGCCGTCGGTGGCACCGGTGTATCCGCAGGGATAGAAGAGCAAATGCAACCCTTCGATCCCGGCAGCACCGAAATCCTGAAGGAAAGGCCGCCGGCGCGATCGGATCTGCCCCCCCCGTGGCCGCGACCCGAACAAAACACGTGCGGCACGAAGGGCGTCCAAGAATCCAAGGGCGGCGGTGATTGGATTTTGGGGGGCGGCGGTGTGAAGACTTCAGGGCGAGAACTGGAGGGAAGGACCGTTTAGAGTTAAGCAAACTGAGATTCGAGGCTTGCGGCGTAATTTGCAACATCGATGTCCTTACAAATTTGTCAAATTTGCACGTCACGCACTTCTTGGACATCAAACTCCAATATCCGGTTTGTCGGTCCATTAAACACCAGACAGCTACACAACCCCCTCTGTTGTTGTGGAGTCCAAACAACCGCCGTTGTGATCTGCACATGACACATACCCACCGCATACCCACCTGGGTCCAAAACCGTTTGAACTGGCTGCTCTGTCCCCCGGCAGTGCTGCACAGCGCTTCTCCAGGTGGAAAGCAGGGCCGAAGCATGGAGGCCTCAAGGAGGACTTCTGCTTGGTGACAACCAAAAAGAATTTAAAGATACTTCAAAGAGATGTGCGTTCACATGATGTTATATGATATGATTTGATATTACATATATATATATATATTGCACGTCAGCTCTCCTGCTGTCAGGGCTGACATGTACCTCACGCCTACCTGAGTCATCTTTAGCGCTGCTCACTGAATCATGGAGCCGTTGTCCTTTGGGGCACAACTCTGCTTCACATATCTTAGTATATCTTCATACACCTCCAACGTCTACCCATGGAATTGCAACAGCGTTACAAATCGAAACGACAAAATGCCTTGATCGTACAGCACTTGCTAAAATGACCCAGGCTGGCCTTGTCTATCTTCCACTCCACCGTCTTCACCTAAGACGTCATCACATGATGCAATCTTCTAGTACACATACAATCCTAGAGACAAGATCTTCATGACACAAAAACATGATGTTCCACTGATATATTTATTATGTTCTTGAACCTGCACCTCAGCAGCTTTCATTTGAACAAAGACTGTGACTATCCAGCACCTCACGCGACATCCTGACATCTTGGACACTGGCATGGACATTTTTCAACGTTGCAGCTCGAGAAGGACTCGGTCCGGGGGGTCCCGGCCAAGCGACATCTCATGGAATCCACTTGCTCTTTGACCTGGTCGTAGAGCCGATTGTTGATGTGCATCGAGTAGAAGAGTTGACCTCACGGGACTCCGAGGGCGCGCTCGAGGCCCTTCAACCGTCTGAGCGCTTGCCGAAGAAAGCACCGCAAGCAACGGTCATAGAATGGTCAAATGGTAGACCAAATAGACTAGGATCATCTTATGCATGACCTCAGAGTGATTGGTCCAAATTGGTCCGCCATCCTTGCAGGCTTCCTTGGTCCAAAGCTCAGAGTTCCGCACCTTCCAAGGACAGTGGAGGGTCTTCGCGAACACCTTGGAGGGTGGAGGGTGTTCCAGGTCGAGGGTCGCTGTTCAGCCTTCGTCTGTGGACCTTCTGCTTTCTATTCCTGGAAGACACGGTCTGATTTGAACCAATGCTACAACTTTGAGGACGGCTAGAATGCTTTCTTGTTGATAGATGTTGGCACACATGCTAGATGACAGTAGCCTAAGGCCTAGCAGCCATCACCTTCATTCTAGGAATCTCTTGGATCGACACGCGGAGTCGCCTGGGACACCCGGACGCGCAATGGCAGGATCGACCTGCGTCGCGTAGCTAGACGCGAAACGCGACGCAGGATTGGACGCTCCAACCCCGGTGATCTGCATGGTCTGACCTTGAAAGCTCAACCTAATAGTAATGGCCTCCTACAGTAATAGGAATGGCCTCCAACCTAATAGCAATGGCCTCAACATGGGAATTTTCTTGGATGTTCCCCTCCTCGCATGGCCGCCTGGGGTGCAATGACATGGTAGTTTGGCGGTTGCGGGTGCTTCGAACGGCTCTCCGACCACGGCTGCGGCTTTGGAAACACCTCCAACAAAGGGGACGAAATCGGGGTTCCGCAGCATCTCTTGCAAAAGGAAGAGATCAACAAATGGCTGCAAACAATGCTACTTGTAGTGCAAGGTTTTCCAACACCCCCAAGTCAGTCCATCGATGGTTTCCTTCCTTTGGTCTGCCCATCATGGCGAAGAGCCCCACCTCGGGAACCTCCTTCCCTTGCTCCTCCAGCGCCTTCCTGGAAAAAGAACACTCTAAATAGCCGCAGCGAGGACTCTAGGATTTGACAGCATGTTTCAACCCAAAACACGGTTGGTGGAGAAATGCACACGTTCTCGCTGGGGGTTCTTTATTTTACTCTTTTGTTGCTGTGATCTCATGCCTGTATTCGGCCAGCTGTTCTCCATGCTGCTACGGCCCACTCTGAGCTTCAACAAATAGATCTTCTGCAAAGGATTTGGGTTTTCTTGGTAGTACATGAAGATCGTCGATGTTCTGCGCCAAACCAAGCGCTGTCCACATGTTTCCTTGGTGCGGTCATGGTCCTCCAGTCTGGTGGCTGTGGTGCCGCCGGCTGCAAGGGTGCTTCTAACTCCCGCAAGACCTCTGAAGCATTTGGGAGTGACATTGACACCACCTATGCAAGAAATGAGTCACTTCGGAAATATTCAGGCAACTGGACAGAACCAACGAAGAATAAATGGGAGATGGTCAAAGGTAAACATGCTGAATATCCAACACCGGTGGAGTCCGGTGGAGGAGGAACTCCTAAGCTGATCTAAGGTGAACAAGCCACCTTGAGTGCCTGGTTATGAATTAGTCGTGATTTCCAGGGCGTCTGGAAACAATCTTACTTTCATGAAAGACCGATGCACCATCCAACAGTTTTTTCTCCCCCTTTCCAGCCCCAGCAGCTATGTACAGCATACAGTATATACACAGTAAAGCTGGCAATTAGATGATTATACTAATTTCATGATTATACATGAGCATATCATAGAAAGCTACCAACAGCTTCATTGAATTAGCCTCAAGGATCTCGCAGGACACGCTCAAGGTGTCGTCCTGCCCACAAGCATCAATTTGAGGAAGGAAGTATGACTATTGATCAAGAACACATATGACATAAACAATTATCATCATCCATGCCATACATCTAGTTTGCCCACTACTCAACAGTCGCTTTAGCAAACACACCTTGTCAAGTTTGAGTGGTTAGCGCCCAAAGCAAATCTGCAGTCAGTCTGCAAGGCTTGAACATTGAATCCATTTAAAATAACAGATTCTATTGCAAGGATTCCCAAGGATTCCCAAGCACTGATGAGCACTGTTTGGTATCTGATGAGCAAGATTCCCATGGCCCAAGCATCGGTGGTCTTGGCAAACCATGGGATCGGTTGACATCCCAAAGGAATCTGTTCATGTAAGGCAAAAGGGTCAACCACCACAGTTCCCGGGTTTTGACCCACACCACGGTCACCACACCCATATCTCATCTTGGCGCATGTTTGCTTTCTTTGTTGAAACTGCTTGATCCTCGAAAGCGGCTGTCTCCCGTCAGTCTCCAGTACCGCGCTGAGACCTCTCGATTGATCTGGTCAACGAAGAAGCACAAACGAGTTGTGCCTGCATTCAAACACCATTCTCTTCAGTCTCTTCACTTCTGTGATTCTGTGATCCTCTGGCATTCTATGAAGTTTGGGCAACCCGGTAGATTCAACTAACTTCCTAATGACAGCTTTCTCTCCACCAGCGTTTTGGGTGTGTGAGAAATCTATATACTGTAGGTACAAACAGCGGCATACAGCGACCAAACCTCGTGTCCAACTGCGACCACATGCTCAGCAAAGACTGGGACACAAGGAGCAGATTCTACACAGTTACTCCAAAAGACCCTATCTCTCTCTCTCTCTCTATACGATTTCCTCCATTTGATTCAAAGATTGCATGCTATGAGCTATACTATTGTGCTATACTACATATAGAAGGAGCTGCAAAATGCAGTGAACTCTTTCCAACGATTGCAGTAGAAGCCACCTGTACCACGATCTGGTGTTTGATCTGTTTAGACATCTGACGATCAAGCAGTGAAATACTGAAACAAGTTCACCAAAAACAATCAACTGCCACCCGTCAAGAAATTTGTGAACTAGCCTTCCTACGAAGGTAATTATGGGATCCCAGTGGCAAAATGGTCAAGTCAATGCTGAACATATTTACCGATGGGCCCCTGACATGTCATACCGATGGGCCTCTGAGTGCCCCCGACCGTAAGGCACACGGCCATTGAACCTCTTCTCCAGCAACTGCCACCTGATGCTGAGAAATTCTCTTCCATCTCGTCTTAACTTCTTCCCCCTGGGCACTCTTTTAAGCTGCTACGTACCAGTACCGCACTCCACACCAAATCCAGCTACACCAACGGTGCCACGCCTGCTCCCCACACCCAATTTGAAGACCAAATTGGATCCCTTCGTCGCCCAAAGGCAGGCGGCGCAATCCCCGGCCTTGGAGCGAGAGTTCCGGCGGGTCATAAAACCAATCCACGGGGAGACGGGGAGACGGGTAGAGTTCCTGTGACTTCGTGTTGGGTGGAGCGGAGCTGGGTGTCCGATTCCCCTTCTTTTGTGAGCAAATGGAACTGCCAGTTGGGTTAGTCATCTAGGCTCCTAGCAAGGGCTTGGTAAGTTAGGCTGATTTGGACTCTTGGACCAATAGACCAATCTGGAACACCACATGCTGGACAATTAGATGATATTAGATGGTTCCCGTAGAAATCCGTGCTGTGCTTCCTTCTGGCCAAGCCACCTCCTGGCCTTCAACTGGGGGGTCCATGCTCCGGAAGACCTGGCAACAGCATGTGGCTGTGACGCGGATCGGCAACATGCACCACCTCAAGCGCTTGTCTGGATTCTTGTTTTGCAGGCATCCGTGTGCAACCAATGTCCAACTTTATTGATGGGCGAGTGGTGGTACGACAGTCACATTGGCTAACGCAGCATGCCTGGACAAAGGTGTTGTAGCAGTCCCGAGTTCCCAGCATTTTCGATCGTTTATCGCCACAAACATCAGGGGCAATCCACTTTTGACATCTTTTGAAGGTAAACAGGAGAGTTATGTATTCCAATCGGGTTTCAGTGAAGGCGCCATCACGCATGTTAGATCATTTTGGAAAACCCTTGAAGACATGAACCACTGCGAACTTTGCCAGTTGTTTCTCTTTTCAATCTGACTTTAAACCTTGTCAGGTCAATTCGCCCAGGTATTTGAACATGACCTGATGTCCAGTTGACCCCGCTTGGTACCGTGAAATCCCCGCGCAGTTTCCGTCCTTCCACCCGCGTTTCCATCCTTCCCACCTGCAGTTCCAGTTGTAGTCCATGACATCCACCCGCATCGAAGAGGGGTGAAAACCTCGCGGTCGAAGTCTCGTCGAAAGGTCTCATCGGTCGTCACAGCCTGGAGGTCCTCATAGGTCTCTGGGTGACTGGCCAACTCACATGCGGCTGGATCTTCACGTCATCCTCGGGCGAAGTGAGCGCTGACAGTCAATCCTATATATATATATATTGATATATAGACCTATGAAGAATGGAGCCGCGCCTTCTACATGTGAGCCGCGCTTCTTGGGGGTGCTCAAAGTGTGGATTGAGTCAAACTTGCCATACAAACAAATGAGCCATGAAGGAACAACATGCCGCTAGTCGGAGGAACATGCAAGTCAGCCTGAAGAAACAAGTCTTGACTCAATTCCTGAGAGGACCTGAGGGAGCTAATCCAAACAGTCCAAACTTTGAAACATGACCGAACAGTCTAAAGTCTAAACATAGCCAAACAGAAGTATATACCCAATTAAACAACCAGTTTCTTTCAATGCTGGCTTGGTGACAGGTGAAAATTAAAGAAAACTCTTTTAGGTGCTTTCGAACAGCTCGACTCAGTTTGGTCAGTGCCACCAAACCACCAGCAGAGGCTTCCGAATCTTCTTGGAAGCTTCGCGGATGACCCAGGTCACCTGCCCCCACGGAGGGAGTCCGCTTGTGCGGACCACAATGGTCTACAAGGGTTAAAAATCCATTGACAAATACAACACACATATATACACATATCATATATAATCATAAAAATATATATATATATGGTGGTTGATCAATAATCTTTCATCCTGGAGTTCTTCGCGGAAAACAGATAGCTTTCGCGGATCTTTCGCGGCCTCATCGCGAAGCATGGTCCTACAACCATGTCTAGCTAACATGAGCCGGAACATGTCATAGGGACAGACATCTTGCAGCATGACCAGTTGAATGTTTCCACAGCTACTCAGGGTCACTTGCAGCATCTGTGGCGCAACTCAACCCAATCCTCGTCCCAGCTACCAACACAGGGTGATGCAGCTTGGGGAATGTTGGGGGGCCTCAAGCTGGGGACCTGGACTTTAGCGGCACATTCGCGAAGCTTTCGCGGATCTTTCGCAAAATTTCACTGGCGCTTTCCCGGGGAAGCCGTACGCAAACATCTGCACAGCCCGCCAGAGCAGCTGTAGGTCGTTGCCTCACTGTCAGGGCTGCGCCTACTCAGGTTGCTTGTCTATGACAGTGGGGACAGGAATCGGAGAATCCTTTACGCACTGCCAGGGCTGGGCACGGAAATATTGAGGCTTCAATTCATTAGTCTGTGACATATGGGGACACTTCCGCCCACCAGCTCTGCCGGAAGATTGCCTCCTATTTCTATTCTTTGTCAGTCCCTTAGAAAGGAAAACGTATGAAAGCGATGACCTTCGATAAATCTTTCGCGGAAAAAAAAAAAGATACTTTCGCGAACCTCATCGCGAATCTTTCGCGGATGGTTCTAACAACATCTGAAAGGCTGTTTTATATAAAACTCCTTACACGGGGTTTTTGATCAACTCCCATATATTATAATACTTTATAAAACAATACATGATATAATTCACTACTTTGAGACCACCCTTGGAACTCAAGCAACTCTTGGCTCTTGGATTTACATGTTCAATCATTTTCATCAGCACGCTCCGTGGCCCCAAAAAAATTGCGATTTACATTTGCATACAATTGCCCCGTGTGCGAAATCAGGGTCACGCAGGGAAGATGAGTCGTCCTGAAACGGTAGATTTGGACCACCAATCTGATGTGCCAGTGCCAACCTGTCTCAAACTAAGGCCCTTTCCCTGCAATCGAAATGGATGAACATTAGTCAGTTTGGGCCCCCCACAACTCTTCCCTCCTCACCCAGCACTATCGCACCCTCCGTGTGGGAACGTTCTGCACTTCGCAAAGGCCCGACCGAAGTCGGATGGAGGTGTCTTCCAAAGCCTCGTGCTGTCAAAATCCACTGCAGTGGTTCACCCAGGGTGGATTTGCCAATCAAAGAGGCAAACAGCAGGAAATCACAACTGGATCATCCACAGGATTAGCTCAGTGGTCATCCGCCCTAGATTCTCAAGATTTCTCAAGTCTTCTCGCACTCCGTTGTCCAAATGAAACGCAGTGGACTACGTTCCGCGGTCGTCTTGCGGTCGTCTTGCGGTCGTCCCGGGCCCGACCCTCAGCCGACCATCGGCCAAGTCCATCGCCTCCGACGAAAGGATTGAGGTGTTTCTACGCTATACGAGGGGCTTTGCCCATGCAGAACTGAAAATAAGGTTCAAACAACGGATCACCTTGTTTCGGATCATGTGATTCTTCTTTTCTTTCGAAATCTGGCCGCGCTACATCAGGTAGACGAGGCCCACATCTGCTCACAGCTGGTGTTTTGCACTGAGATGCTGAGCGTTTCCTCTCACTCCCAGGTGTGTCCCGGTTTTTTGGTGAGGATCCTTTCCTCTCTGAGTCAAACAAACACAAGCAAAAACATCAAACACCATGAAAACGACCACTGCTGACATGGCATTGCCTGGGAAAACTTGGAATCAATCTCCCTGGTCGTTTGGAGGAAGTCTGCCTCTGCCGCTGAGCGATTCAACCGACGTGGCGGGGGCATGTGTCAGCAACTGTATCACTTCAAAGGTCTCAAAAAAGCTTAAAACGTGGCCACGCTTTGCGAAGTGGGGGTACAAGGTCGTCTGACGACCACTTTTGATGCCTAAACAAGGATAACAAGGGTGGTCTGACGACCGACCGTCCTGTCCAAGGGAGTTTCCGAAGAGCCGACCTCGCCGATGACATCCCCAATGTCCTAAACTCTGCCTGGGTGGCAGACTCGTCGATGAGCTCTTGCAGTCGGCCGATCTTCAACCAAATCTCTGCCTCCGTCGCGATGGTCGGTCTTCTTCGATGGTCTCGGTCGGGCCTATGGGTCGTTGGATGAGCAAAGCGATCCCTGGGGCAACGCCTACACCAACCTTGGACCCTTCATGACCCTACCCGGTCGGGTTCAAATGGATTCACGCGGATTCACTCCAATGTTTCATCCCTGGCGGATCTTCTCCGCCTCAGAAAGCTGAAATCGTTCCTCCTCCACGCTGCGTGCCTGAGAGAGCGTGGAGATCGCGGAGTGTGGACAGCTTCTGAAACAGCGTGGAAGACCAATTGGAGACCCAAAGGTCTTTGTTCCACCCCGCATTCTTTTTTCCCTCCGCCTTTTCTCAAGTCCGATAAGTCTGCCTATCTCTACAAATTCTATTAGAAATATGTATAGCGAAATCTATATCTAATTATAGTTATAAATAATTCATACTTTAATAATCTTTAATAATTACTGTAATATAATTCTATTATGTTTGTTGATCCCGCTTCTTCTCGAGACCTTCGAAACAACGTCTTCCAACATCCGTTTTTCAGGAAGCGCTGGCCCGACACCTGACACCGAACGAACGGTGCCTCGATGCCGCCGGAAACACCCCATCGGGCACAAGCTGTTTCCCCCTTCCATTTGGAAACAAGAGATGATACACCCCGAGTCACTCAATTGGAAGTGGATGGCACCACCTGTTTGGTCTTCGGAAAACTCATGGTCATCTGAACCCAAAAGCGATGCGTGTTCCACTTAACTACCCACCATGGATTCTATCAGGGAGTGTGTATCTGATGTAGTGCAGTTGCTTGACGGATCCAACTATGATCTAACATTTCCCCAAAACAAATGCATGCGACCTTTTCTTGCACTTTGGATGATGTCCCGACAGCTCATGGTTGCTTCGCCTGTTGCTCCTTCTCTGCGAGTTTCTGAATGAGGTCCTTAACCTCCTGGCGTGTTGGTGTGTGTGTGTGTGCGCACGTGTGTTTTCACCTGCCTCACTACCATGGAAATTGCTGTGGTTCCTCTCCGATCGTTTCAATGCTGCAGTGACGAGCCCGTGATTTCACACTCCCGCCCCGTCGTCGATCTCTGTCGATAAGACATGACAGATTATGCATAAGATCCGGATTTTATGGATGGAGATTGCATGGATTTATTATGGATAATGGACATTATCATTGACTATGCATAAAATCAATGTTATAATAACCCATGTAATGTCTATCATTGATCCGACTGCTGAGCTAACGTCTTCCTTCAACCTGCCCAACAGAGCCTGGCCAGGCTTGCCCCAATCTATTTCCACTTATTGGGTACCAGGCAACAAAGAGCACCATCTCAGAGGATTAGGCGGAGAGCTCCTTCACAGCCTCAGTTGTTGTGACCAACATCTCTTGCTTGTTCTCATCGATGCTCTTCGCCAGCAGTTCACCTCAAACACCGCCCGGTGGCTTCGAAACGGTGGGTCCCGTGGGCGGCGGTGGAGACGAACGGACGAGCGGCCGGGGAACTGGCAAATCAGATGAACTGCCTTCTTGGAGTATCCGACAAACGAAGTGAATATCTATCGCGACTGGCCACAAATTTGGGTCCCCTACCACTTTCCAATGCTTCACACGATCTCTAAAATGCATTTAAGTCATTTAAAGTCATTATATAAGTTGGTCCGGAACGTATCAATGCTTGGTGGTCCCCCACGGTTTTGCTGGTTTCCCTTGCCACATCAGGACAAACAGAATACATTGGCTGGCTCACTTCACTAGACTGTCTGAGGCACAAACAGAGTTTCTGCAGCTCAACCTCGTGCACAAAAGCGGTAGTCTTTCTTGTCTTGGCCCAGTTCTGCTTCTTTCTGCTCAAGACGAGGCCTTTTCATGTCCTTTCCCTGACGTGGAACTTGAGACGCGAAAGTCCCAAGCCTTTCACAATCAGCTCGAAAGTCCAGCTGGAGCTTCAGCTCCAATTCTAGTCTCTCGCCAATTGGCGTCTGTCTCCGGGTTGCCCCACACGTGAATGGTCGTAGCAACCCTTGACTGCCTCCTCCACTTCCTCCCGCACCTGAGAACAACACCCGGATCCCCATGCCAGGACTCCCCGTCCGTCCCCGACCATAAACAAGATGGGTCACAAGGGGATGCAATCTATCACACAAAAACTAAAAATCAACCCAGGAGTACAAGCACTCATGGGGGGGTCGTTGCATTATCTGACACAATGACTCACATAGGAGAATGATCAACAAGAATAGATCCCCCAAGTAGCCATGTATAGGACATCACGAAAGGCCCATAGTAGTTTGTCCTTGAACATTCAAGCACATCGATTGAAGCCCTCAAAACATACAAGTCCCATGTATGATATACCGTTTACCTTTCGCAAACAAAATATCTATCACGGACCGCTACAGTTCAAGGTTTAGTATGTTTAGTTTGGCCCCACAACTCCCTGCCCATCCGCAGGTAATGGGTCAAAGGGCCTGCAAACAAGAGAAGAACCCAATTCGAACACATGATGAGCATAAACAGATTTCACATGCATTCACATTTCTATTTGCTTGAGGGTCACTAGAACCTTTCACATTGGCTATTTGCTTGAGGGTTCTTCTCGGCATGTTTCTTCTATGAGCGTCCTACTGTAGCCGTTCCTTGCTAAAGGTTTCTGTAGCCGACCAACTCAGAATCTGAGGGGCCAGCCAGGGCAAGCTCCTGTCACGAGACGTGCATCTGACTGAGCAACCACTTGGTGCTCGCAGGCAGAGACTGTTTTCCGCACTTTCACTGACTGAGACCGTTTTTGATTGAGCTGAACGTTCTCTCAGGTTTGAAGCTGATCATATATCGGGCAAGATCACCAATCACATCCAGTCACTAGACGTTTTCGGAAGCGCTGTTCTCAAGATGTGTTCAAGGCGCTGCGCCGGTTTCACATACAAACCAATAGATGCATGCATCTTTCCAAATCCAAACACCGAGAACAAGAAACATACCTCTAGGGCTCTTGAGTGGAGCCTGTAACATACCTGTCATGTCAGAGCCATGCTCATGCACACAAGTGATAGGCAGTTCATGCCTTTGCCATCAACTCTTCCCTTGTTTCCCGCCAAACCCCTTCCCCGTTTATTCTGTTAAACATGCATCAATCCTCCGCTGAAAGCTGCGGCCTCGTCCACGCGATCACACAAGACTTTCAGCTCCTCAGCCACCAGCGCACGGAGTTCCGCCTGAAGGACGCACAGTGGAAGCAGGTGAAGCTCCCGATGAACGCGCTGAGGATCTCCGTGGTGCTCCTAAACATTATATTTATACATGACAGGGGGTTCTTCCCACACTCTCACGATACTGGTGTAACGCTTCATGATCTTCCAACATGTCGATGATTCTGGACCCAAGACACGTCTAGAAACGCGCCACGTCTAAAAACCTCCGCAGCACATCCCTAAAATCGGCCTCCAAAGCTGTCAGCTGCCGCTGCAACTCCTGCGGCAGTATAGATGGATCGTCCATTCGATGGCAGAAAAGGCTCCCTTGCCCTTGGCCGGCAAATACCATGTCCATGCAAAGGACGTGGGGTAAACGTTGACGTTGTCACTCCCGATGACAAAGCTCGGGACAAGTGAATAGTGAATACACACGATTCATTGAGGCCAGGAGGGTGAACCGAAAGCTAGCCACTGCGCCCAGCGCGGGTTGAAAAGCAGGGTTGGGATTAGATTTTGATAGGAACCATGGGGGTTGATAGGAACCATGAGTTTCATCCATTATCCACTGAGGTATTCCTTGATGAGATCTTTGATGCAGCTGTTCGATGAGCATGAGGAGCTTCTGGTGGTGGGGGTAAGCGGTGTCCATGAAGGCTGGGTGGATGGCCATCAGGATTGAAACCATGAGATGTAGTTGGGTCTTGTTGTTCATGGCATGGGTTCATGGGATTTCAACATCAGGTCTTTGATGGAAAAGCATAGGAGCCATGGTCCAACAACCTGGGGTTGCAATAGATCAAGGTCGAGTATATATATATATAAGCAAATCAGAAGCAGAATCATGTATTAATTTAAAGCTCAGATTGCAGATTGCAATGTTGGCATTGCTGATGATGAGTGGCATTAGAGGCATGGGCATGGTGATGGCATACTATGGGAACGTGTTCATGAGGCAGCTTGGTGAGAAGGTTCAGCTGCTGGATGAGAAGATCATGCCCATCTCCAAGAGAGCATCAAACCTGTCACACTCAGCCAGTAACGACACCAACAGTGGGAGTTGAACCCCTGGGAGGGGGGGGTCCATCACATTGAATTACTGTATATGTTTGAATGATTGGAGGTCTTTGAGGCTGCCGTCCACCCTCTCAATTCCTTCTAAAGCAAGAGCGACTCCAGCTAGCTGAGGCTAGCTTTCGTGACCTATTCCAACATCAAGGCATCCGGCTTGGATGATTGACTCCCTATGTCTGACATGCCAGCTTCTCGGTGATGTGATCACCCCACTGGGCCCCCAGTCAACACCCTAAGAAAACAAGAATCCTGATAGCGATGGCCTCCAACCTAATAGCGATGACCTCCTCCAACCTACTAGCGATGGCCTCCAACCTGCTAGCGATGGCCTCCAACCTAATAGCCATGGCCTCCAACCTACTAGCGATGGCCTCCAACCTAATAGCCATGGCCTCCAACCTAATAGCGATGACCTCCTCCAACCTACTAGCGATGGCCTCCATCCACCAGGTTCACAAACAAGAATCCTCATCGGCGGCTTTGAGCTCCACTCGCAGTTGCCCCAGCTGCGCTGCGGAGCGCTGCTCCAAGCCATCGTAGCGGCTGGTCGTGTGCGCCTGCGGCTGGTCGTAGAGAGCAAACACAAGAGTCAAGCATCTGCTGCTTGCTTATTATTATCAAGGGCTTGTTCTCAAGATCTCTTGAGATCAGATCGAATCTAAGGCAAAAAGGACATGATTTTGAGGTCATCCCTCACACGCCAGGCCCCAAAAGGCCGCTAGAGCATCCGGACCCTGATTCCATCCTGCAATGAAGTACAAGCGTCCTCATGAAGTTGGGGTAGGAATTTCATCTGTTTCAAATCCTGCCACCTTCTGAGTGGCGTTGGTCTTTCCGCGAATCTTGCGGTAAGCCTTCTTGGTGGCAGAAGAGTTTCTTGGAGATGCGCCAAGCCCCTTTGGCGAGGAACTTGCTCCATAGTATGGGAAGCCCATGACATGCTTCAGGCACTTTCCAAAGTCGGAGTCTCGGCCATAAGGCAAATTGAGAAAGAGAACAGCACGAACAGCACCATGAAGCACATTGACAATAAAATGATCTTGTCCGCAGCAGCCACAAGCAGAATCGCCGGAATGATGCTGACTGCAAGGGTGGTGAGGATGGGCTCGGCAAAGTTGTTCACGATGAACTTCGTAACCTGTACACCTGTGGGGGGATCCTCAACAATTTCCAAGGTCCAAGGCAAAGCCACTGTCAGACTGCTCATTCTCGGCCTGCTCAGCCTCCTCTTCCACAGCCTCATTGGTCTTCTTGTCAATCTCGTTCAAAGCTAGGTCAATGCCTGCTCCATTCTGCTCGAACTCGTTTTCATTCTCTGCAAGTTTCTTTTTGGCCTCAGCCTCCTCTTCAGCTGAGAGTGCTGGTACTGTGTCGGGCAACGCCGAGATTTCTTCTTTTGCTGCTTCCTTCTCTTCTGGTGAGCCCTCCAGAAACTTCTGGGCTAAAGACATGGTTTTTGCCAAGGTACCCTGTGGATCTTTCTGCAGTTCAGGCCAGGGCCATGACCTTTCATCTTCCTCAGCAATTCCTGGATTACCTCTCTGTCCTCATCTGAAGGGACAAGGTTGGTCAAGATCTTTTCAAAACCAGCACTGACTGCAGCCGCTTCCTGTTCTGTGAGCTGGGACATAAAGGTCTTGTCTGCTTGTGCCCTTGAGATCAACTTGAAAGCATCCAGCATCAGTGCCTCGCGGCGTGCACAATTTCGGTTGAATTTGCTGGCTTCTTGGCAGTTCTTGGCATATGTGGCACTCTTCTCATCGAATTGATCGATCATGGTGTGGAAGCTTTTGAGGCCATTGTGCTTCATCAGGTATGCATCCGTGCGCCGACAACTCGCAGAAGGAGTCAAGTCCAGCGTCAAGCGTTTGCGCACGCATCCCTTGCCGCCACAGCCCTTTGTCAAAGACCATGTGCAGTCAGCGTGCAGCGCATTCCATGTCGACTTTGTCCATTGGACTTCTTCAGTCACGTGGACGCCCTCCTGACCTGACCTGACCTGCTAGAAGCAGCAAAAAAGATTGCCTTCATTTGCACATGCCCAAAGGTTGGAGTGGAGCGCGACATCTCCTTGTGACCTTTGGATCCAAGCTCAGCTTAAGCACGATGTTGGGAATGACTAAGTCTCTATCTGATCATCTGCCTTATGTTCTGCATCCTTTCAAGGCGTTCCGGTCGCAGTCCGTCCCATTCCAGCCCATCCGACCTGCGCATCTTCTGCAACACGTTTTGTGGCTTCTTTGGCCTCGGTGGCCCACGTGGCCGTGGCACCGGTGGTGACGGTAAGAACCCTTCCGACGCCATGTCCACCAAGGCCAATGCAACTGAAGAATCACCCCTGTTATTCCCCAACACAGGTCGTCGTCGTCACCGTTTACGATCGTTTCCTTCCCAAGCGGCCACATCCAAGCCTTGCGCCAGTTCCTTCTTGGCGACCTCCACGGGCAGCCCGCATGGTTGTCTGGATGCATTCTTTGCGACCAACTGTACGACGTGTCTGCGATATTTCGCCTGCAGGATGTGCATAAATAACATTCAGTTCGGACCCCAAATCATTTGAGACTTCAACGTGCACAAAGACTTCAGTTGAGATCCCTAAATATAACAAAAACATACAAAAACGCCTAAAAACGCACCTTTTCCATCCTGAAGGGATGACTGTGGCGAATCGGTTCGTTTCAATCACCGTCTTCGCTCCGACTTGTACCGGTCGACCGGGAGTTCCCGGTCCAACCGGGATCGGTCGTGGAACCGTGGCCGGTCGAGAGCCGAACGCCCTCGTCACGCGAATTCCAGTCATGATCCATCCATCGTACACTGATGGAAATAGACAATTCCTGCGCTCGACTATATACACTCCGACTCACTAACATGGAAGTGAAAAAGCCACCGTTTGCAAAGGACAGTAGTCTTCCAAGGGGCCATTTTGTCACTCATGCCAGCAGTCAGGTCTGGCGGTGGGCTTGCTTGCCGCGCCACCCATCATTTCCAAGGGGCCATTTTACACTTCCATGTTAGTGAGTTGCTTTTAATCTTTTTTGCCCTAGGCCCCCCAACCTCGAGCTCAGCGATGTGAGTGTCACAGGCATGCACCTCTGCGAAAATCCATGGGTTGTCCAGCCGGGCTGGCTTCAGGTCATAGTTCCAACTTGTCAACCAATCCAACATTTATTTACAGGTTGCAAGTTGTAAGACAATCACTGCAACTCTCTTCCCGGCAAACAACACCAAAGCCATCCAACCCCCCTTTCAGCGACATGAACCTGCGACCGTGTGTTTATGCAGGTGTTTCTGACAGTATCTAGTCCAGTCTATGATAGTCTATAATTATGATCTATCCTCAAAATCATCTCATGATTCGTGTGATGTGTTTGTCTTTCAACGGATGAGTTTGAAGATCCAATTCATATGCATTGAGTGCAACTAGTTCATGAGCCAGGTTGCCTTGGCACGCAGCTCTTTCTGCACGCCAGCGATTTGAGACTGGCGAAAGCCAAAGACTGTGGCTGACACACTGAGAAAAGTCATTGCTTCTCATGTCTGGCTTCATGAATGGTTCTCTTGTAGTTACGTAGTATAATGTGGCCGGGAACTAGAAAGAACGTTGCTGTTCAAAATGCTGAATATATATCATTATCTCATGGTCATTGAAATGTCCAAATAACCAACAACTGCAATCACCTCTGCTCTTCGAAAACCAAACTTTCCACTTCGGCACCCCGCCGATCTCCTCCAGCTGAGTCTTCAAATCTTGGAACTCCTCGAGTGTCACCAACACTGGCTTCTTCGGCATGGCCACGCTCAAGCTCACCAGGAGTCCGCTTTTGGAAGGGACCAAGATGGGTCAAAAACAGGGTATTCGCGGATGCCTCACTTCAAGTATTTGCATGTATTCGCTGTCTTGGCCTGTGTGTGGAGGTTTCTGTGTAATATATCCATATATATATAATATATTATATGCTATTCGCCAGTCGAGCCCAATCAATTCCCGTTAGGATTGCTGTGATTGGGGAACTTATTTTTTGTCCATAAACTTTCCATAAACCAAACCGAAGGTTCACCAACTTCTGAAGACTGTTCGGGAGAAACCGCGCACATTTCTTGGGCATGTCTGCCTGGTGATGCCTGGTGTCTTGCTGTCAGGCCAATTGTGCAAGAAATGCAGCAAGATCTCACTGCTGCCAATTCAAGGACATGACCGTGTTGCTGAATCTCAATCTTCACAACTGCATCTTGTTTTGCAGATCCACAAATGCTTGGTACAGATGGACTGTTGTCTATTCATCTCTATTCCAGAAATTCATTGAGGCGAATGTGATTGGGTTCAAATAATCTCTCATAACTCAGTTGTCAATGCTATAATAAATGGCCATCCACAATGAAATCCGAATGCTCTCACCAAAATCCTAAACACGCAGGTCTACAATAGTTGTGCGCTTATATGTACACAGCAATGGGGTGAACAAGTTGTCAGCGACTTCCTCTTCAGCCAGCACCTTTTCTGTTGTGCCAAAATCTCCGTCCGACTCATTCCTTTGGGGTGCGTGCCCAACCTGAGCTGCAGCAACGGCACTGGATGCTCCCCCTGACCAGGAAGTCAGTGATAACTCATTTCTTTCGATGGAATGATTCAATGAACTGCAGGTTCTTGCATCCGCCAATTACCTGCTCATAATTGCCTGTGCCACTGGGCGCGTTAGAGGATGAACTGCTTGGAGAGAAAATTCTGTCAGCGCAGCATAGACCCCAAATAGCATAACATATTTAAGCAGCAGCAGCAGCAGCCCCTGAAGCGGCAGCAGCACCCAGGCTGCACTGCCATAGACATCTGGCAGCGACACTGCAGATCCCAGCACCCAAGCTCCAAAGCGCACACAAGCACCTCTTTCTCCTGTCCTATACTAGTACGAACCCCAGTAGCTATCTGGGGAATGGGCGAAACACACACTGTGTGTGTGACTGTGGTGTGTGTATGTTGGCCAATTAAGTTTCCCTAAAAATCTAGGAACCAAATCTCTAGCGCGAGCTATCCTGCGTCATGTCAGTAGTAGCTACTTGCAGGTACTAGCTACCTCTAGCTACTACTAGCTACCTACCTCACCTCTAGCGGCCTACCCCCCCTTAAAAATAGGGAACGACAGGAGATCGTCTTTGTTCAACAACAGACAAGCACTTGTCCTCGACTCACTGAGGCTCTAGCTGTCTGCGACAAGGGATTGTCCACCGATTGAGCTCCTGGGGATGTCCATCGTTCAGAACAATGTCATCATCTCCCATACATTCCCATACCATGCCCAGGCATCGATAGGCAAAACAGCATGATCAACTGCCTGAAAGGGCATGGTGATGTTATTTCCCATTCTGAATGTTGTCTCTGCACAATGCGGGTATTCCAACCACCCCGCGCAGCCCCAACTTTCTCCGAGGTGCGAAATTATGACGTCCAAACCATTTCCAAGTTGATGGTGGGAGCTAATCCAATGTGACAACACTGGACATGTTTTTGTTGCCTTTGTCCTATGCACATTCTTGCACTACATTTGTCCGTATCACCATGATACCATGATCCACATCGCTGCGCCGTCCGCTCCCATTCAGCAGTGGGATTGCTTGTGCTGCTTCATCTGCAGTAGCGAACACGACCGCTGCCGTGCCCTTACCCTGAGAGTCGAGTCGCGCTCGAACATGTGCGAAAATGTGCAGCAAAGCAACCGACTCGGACGCAGGAACATGTGTCCTAGCAGATATTTTGTACACGCAGGTGATAAGACTTGTCGCTTTGGAGCACAAAAAGACCCAACCCGTTTGGGCTCATGTGGGCAGGACCAGGTGACTTGATATAGGTATAAGCGATATTATATATTATATATACACTATTGTTTGACATTCTAAATTATGTGTATATATATATATATAAACTATTATAAACTTATGCTTCCGTGGTTCAAAGAGGAAACAGGATGGAAAAACATTCCCTAGGAGGTGGGCTGTTCATGATTTTGATTTGTCAGTGGCTTTTCGCAGAAAATGCTTGCCTTTTGCAATGCTTGCCATGCCCCCCATCTTTTCCTCATATGCAAACTTGGAATGACGAATGTCTCCCCTCCGGATCCCAAAAAAGCCCAGAAATGAAATACTACAGTAGTAGCTTCTTGCTACTAGTAGCGATGGCCTCCAACCTAATAGCGATGGCCGATGGCCTCTAACCTAGTAGCTTCTTGTTACTAACTGTATTCCACACAAGTTCCAAAATGTGATCATCAGTAGGATCCCATCAGTGGGCCCTCGCCCTCCTTGCCCTCGCCTTTCCGCGGAAGATCTCCACCCATTTGCTCTTCATGTGCTGGGCAACCGAGAAGAGAAACACGAACCCAGCAGCACTTCAGGGCTTTAAGATGCTTTAAGGCACAGTGCAACCTTCAAAGGACCACATTTTTGCTTTGAGAACAGCCCAACAAGTGCAACAAACTGAGAACAAGCAAACATCCTCTTTTGGCAACAAGAGCGAGCTTGCAATGGATTCATGGCATAATCTGAGACTCGGGGAAAAAGCTACTATAGTCACTATGTTTCGATCCTTTTACATGTTACATCCTTTTTTGTCGCATTCACATCATTTCTCATCCCATTCGATTATCATTTCTTTTCAGGCCCCCATGACTTTCCAGCAAGAAAGGACAGCATACTGGGATTGAGCCAATTGATTCTGGCTGGAGTCAGCATGTCTTTTGGGGCTCGACACTCTCGTTCCATGGCGTGGTTGATTAGCTCCATGAACTTCATGGAGACTCGGTTGACAAACACATTCAGCTGCTTCGCTGCTTGTTGCGAATTGCTTTGGAGATCTGACTTTCTTTGCAACCAAGCACCCAAGATCTCACCCCAAAAGAACCGATCCAAAGATCCAAAGATCCGTTCCAGAAACCATCTGGTCCAAACCCCCATTGCGGTCGCACCCGCCGCCAAAATCGGATCCAGAAACCATCGGGTCCCTGCCTGGTCCACGTGATCTTGAAGCTCCTTCCAGCGGATGCTCTCAGGCACATTTCCAAGCCAAACCTGGCGCTCAGCTCGGGCGACAGGGTGCCAGGGTCGAAAAATGGGACGGGGCCACATGGGACAGGGCCGAAGAGTCGAGCTATTCCATGCTAGTCATCACATCGGGTGGGAAGTTGGAGCTGTCCAAATGTGCCCATGAAGCAAGTTAAAATCATTGAGCCTTTTTTATTGCGAGTAGTATATTGTATTATCCTCTCAAGGCAACCCTAAAGGCCCTAAAGGACCTAGAACCTGGCACCCCGTAGGTTCACCCAACAGATCCGAAACACCGCAATCGGTCCAAGTTGAAATCACCATATCTTTGAACCCCAGTGGCTCAAAGGCAAACCACTATAATATCTTCTTTGCAATTTCATTTGGTGGTGGAAATTGGCACGAGGACACTATAATCAGCAGCGCAGGGGCCCGTTCCGGTCGGTCTAACGGCCTCACATAGACGTAGCGTCTAACGGCATCACTCACTGGGAAGCACGTCCCCCAAGCCGGTCAGCCCCAAACCATCGTGGGATCCAATAGCCGGCGCATCTCTTTGGAAACGATTCGGCGTCGGCGCATCCCTTCGCCTTAAGGGCGTCGTCCACCTTGAGTTGCTTGCCTTTGCCCTTGCCCTTCCCCTGGCGCGGTCAAACGTGGCGCGGTCGAACGAACGAAGCGGTATACAGTGTCACGCGCGTAGGAGAACAGGCGCGAAAAGTCACCATAGCAATGCATGCTGGATGAGGCCACAAACGCCCGCGAGCAGCAACGAAGTGGCCCGCTGCGTGGGTATATATCCCCCTTACTCGTTGCATATCGGCTGAGAGATTGCTTTTTATAGAGAATTATAGAATTATGTCTATGAAATGGGTATACAGGGAATATTCCCTATAGAATGCTAAAGCCAACCTATTTATAACATGCCCAAACTTCAGGTAAGCGCAGCAGCAACAAAAGCAGGTCATCAATAAAATGGCCACTTCGACTGTCAGCGCAACCCCATTGGGAACCAATGAGATGTTCATAAAGTGACCGGACCATCGACTTCGACCGCTCCATCGACTTCAAACTCTCTTTCATAAAATGCCTTTACCAAACCACGATTCACAGGTCAATACCGACTATATAGCTTCAAAATATCCAAAATTTATGAAATGACTCCTGTCACATGGGAATTAGTATGAATTAGTTTTTGTTTTTCACTCGTTCTCCTTCAGGGCTCTATGAAATGAATGTGCGTTTGGTCATTTCATAGGTGCAAATGATCCTCATTTCATAGAGATCATAGAGACACATGTATGGATGATGCGTGGGTCGTCCAAAAGGTATTGACACAGCCGCACTGGCCACACAGCTGCTTCTGTGTTCAAAAAGGACGTACTTCTGTACTGTATGTCCAAAAACAAGGATTGGTAGGGCCTTTTGTATTTCTGTCTTACTACAGAAAACAGTATCTCCCTACACTGACATCTGTGTCCTACTACTGTACTGGAGTACTGGATGTCCCAAACGAGATGATCGAGATGCGCCTTCATGCCCCACATCGGTGGAATCATGCCGTACATTGGCATTGGCATACCGTAGCCTTGGTTCGGTGACACAACCATACATAACCAGCATACGAGGCGCCGTCAAAATCGTTTTGGAACGGTGGGCGCAGCCTATTGCTGTATAGACGGATGGTTTCCATGGCTTCGTGGACACCAACATGCTTTCAACATAACGAACTGGAATCTATTCCTAACAGGCTTGAACATGGATGAAGGACTTCCTTTTTCAGGTGCTGTCTATATCGATCGAAATATCTAGGTTCGTGG